ATACCTATATATTATATATATATATATATATATATATATATATATATATATATATATATATATATATATATATATATATATATATATATATATATCGATAGTGCTCAACCCCGTACCAACTAATAAGCCTTTTGAAAATAATCAAGCCCATACCAATTAAAATACGTATTCAAACTACCCAAATCCATTCCAATTAATATACAAATAAAAATGTTCAATCCCATACTAATTGGTATACATATTAATACTGCTCAACGCCGTACAAGTGAAAACATGCACCACCACATGCCAAATAATATACAATTGAAACTACTCAACCCCATACCAATTGATAAACATATTGAAACTACCGAAACCCATATTAAATGATATCCATATTCAAACTACTCAACTCCATACCAATGAATATACATATCAATTCTGCTCAACGCCAGACAGATTAATACACATATCAACTCTACGTAAACCCATGCCAATTAGCATTCAATTAAAACTATACGCATACTTTTCCCGCTCAACTCCATATATATTAATACACTCATAGGAATTAATACACGTATTAATACTGCTCAACGCCATATCAGCTTATATACCTATTGAACTAAGCAACCCCATACCAATTAATGAACATATTAAAATACTGTTCAACGCCAGACAAATTATTACACATAAATTTTACTCAACCCCATACCAAATAATACACATATTGAAACTACTCAACCTCATACAAATTAATATACATATTGAAACTACCCAAACCCATTCCAATTAATATACATATTAAAGCTACTCAACCATATACCAAACAATACACATACCAATACTGCACAATCCCATACAAATAATGTACATATTAAAAGTACTCAATCCTATACCAATTAATACAATACTACCAAAGTTCATACCAATTAAAATACTTATTAAAACTAGTCGACCCCATACCAATTAATATACATTTTAATACTGGTAAACACCATACCAATTAATATACTTATTCATACTGCTCAACGCCATACAAATTAGTACACATATTTATTCTGTTATACATTTTCCAAATTAATATAGAATTAAATAAAACTATTCAACCCCACACCAATTAATAAACTTATTAATATTGCTCAACGCCATACACAATAACACACAATAAAACTGCTCAGCCCCATGCTAATTAATATACATATTGAAACTACCCAAACCCATACCAATAAATATACATATGAAAACTACTCAACGCTATACCAATTAATATATGTATTAATACTGCTCGAGGTCATACAAATTAGTTTTTATATTAATTCTGCTCAACCCCATACCAATTAATATACAATTAAAACTACTCAACGCCATATCAGTTAATAAACCTAGTATTACTGCTCAATGACAATTAATACACATCAATACTCCTCAACCCCGTACCAATTAATACACATTAACTCTGCATAACCATATACCAATTAATATACTATCAAAACTATTTAACCCCATACCAATTAATATACATATCAATATTGCTCAACCCCATGCCAATATATATATACATAATCAATACTGTTCAATACCATACAAAGTAATAAACTTATTAATTCTGTTCAACCCATATCAATTAATATACATGTTAAGCATACTCAACCCCATACCAATAAATATAAATACATATTGAAACTACCCAAACCCATACCAACTAATATACAAATTATAAACCTACTCAACCCCATACTAATCAACATATATATCGAAACTACCAAACCCATACCAATTAATATACATATGATAACTACCCAACGCCATACCAAATAATATGCATATTAATGCTGCTCAACACCATACCAATTAATATACATATTAATACTGCGCAACGCCATACAAATAATAATACTCTTATTAATTCTGCTCAACCCCTTACCAATTAATATACATATTTATACGCTCAATGCCATACAAATTAATAAAACTAATCAATCCCACACCAATTAATAAACATATTACTGTTCAACGCCATACAAAACTATACACATATTAATTATGCTCAACATATTAATATACATATTAAAACTACACAACCTCATACCATTGAATGCATATATTAATGCTGCTCAACCCCGTATCAAGTAATATACACATTAAAACTACTCAACCCCATACGAATTAATATATATAATTAATACTTTTCAACGCCATACAAATCAATACACGTTAATTCTGCTCAACCCCATACCAATTAATACACATAGTAAAACTGCTTAACCCCATACAAATTAATGTACACATTAAAACTGCTCAACCCCTCACCAGTTGATGTATCACAGCTTACGAATCGGTGCACGCATAAACTGTCATATACACCCGTTAGTGCACTGGCCCAACGGGTGTCGCACATATGAAGGGTTGTGTAGTGCGTCATAGGCACATACACGTCATTTATGGAATATCATCAAATGCGTGTGGTACCGTGGTACTAACCACTGTTGTTTCGTATTCGAGTTTGGTTTGTATTGCGCATATGCGGATTGTGTGGTGGGTGTGCAATCGTTCGCGCAAACGGCATGCCACACCCAGTGCGGTGTGCACTCTTGGTGCAAGTAGGTACAGTTTTCTACGAAGGCTTCTACTGGGAAGCATCCATAGCAGCAATAAAGCAGACACAACTCTCGGCCTACCACCACAACCAAAGGCAACACACGCAAGCACAGCACCAGCGAAACAAAGCAGACGGAGACAGTCGGACCTCGACACAAAAAACTCTGAAGCACACCCAGACCAGCTCATGGGCAACACACTCACAAAAGCAAAAGGATTAGATCACATGAAAGCAAAAGGATTAGATCACATGAAAGCAGAAGGATTAGATAACATAGTTTATTATCAATTGTGTTACACTTGCAGATCAGACCCCACCCACCCCACACAGCTACCACACCGGAGAGACGCCCTCTCCACAGCCATCGCAGGTTGCGGTGTGGCGCTGTGACAGCGTCTCTTGTCGCTGTGCTGTTGCTTTATTTGTGTGATAGTTAGAATTTTCAGGTAGCTCTAGCCACAAATTGTGTGGATCCCATATATGCATGTTTGCGCATGGCCTTGTGTGTACTTGCTTGGCCACGCGCCTGACCATCTCCCAACGCATGCAACTAGAGTGGCTGTAGATAAGAGAATACAATCCATCGATGTTGTGGTTGTTTCAGCTCGGACGGGATGTTTTAGATGCGCATCGGATCTACAACAGCTGCTTTTGGGGTCCAAATATCATACGCTCTGCCTGCACGGGAGAGACGACATCAGTGGAGGCAGGTCAGACAACAGGTGACAGCGGCGAGAGAGGGGTTGTAGGTATCACAGACGACACCCGCACCCACCAGGGACAGGCAGAGAGTGTATAACAATTGAACAGCGAGACAAGGCAATACGATAGCTCTGATGAACTATTCAGGCGTACAGGCACATAACAACAACCGAGACTTTGGTTTATGCTACGTACTTAAGCCGGCGTAAAACACGCGAGTATGAAAACATACACACACAAACACACGTATATAATATATATATACCACACAAATCCGGTACAATAAGCCTTTGAACGAACACACACACCTGCTACAATAAGCCGGCGAAGCACATGTAGTGGCCCTTAGCGTCTGCCACGGCCTCCTCGGTCACCTCTGCCTCTGCCACGCGCACCTCGCCCTCGCATTCCTCCGCGTCCACCTCGCATGGCTATAAATAGAATGCACCCAAACCAAAGAATTTAGGACATGGAGGACAATTATTGCGGTGCAGGGTTGTAGGTCATCAGTGTATCACACTTCGTCAGGGTTGTGTAGCAAAAGTAGTACAGAACTTCTCACTGGTCTCATTCTTTTCTCGTGGTATGAAAAATGAGGAATATCTTCAGAAGTGTCAGACTCCATCGGCAATCGGGCCATTAAATGAATCTTATGTAATAATTGAACACATATAACTATACACGCCACTTTAATATATAGCAATGAAGTCACCTAGTTATACACACCACTTTAACATATAAAATTGAACACATAACTGTACACGCCACTTTAATATATAACAATTGAACACATATAACTATACACGCCACTTTAATATATAACAATTGAGCACACATGATTATACACGCCACTTTAGTATATAACAATTGAACACATATGATTGTACACGCCACTTTAATATACAACAATGAACATATATGATATACACGCCACTTTCTAAGGTACACAAGCACATATGAGAACAGCGGAGGCCTCAATCGCACGCATGGACAAAGCAATTAGCTACTCATGTGAGGTTTAATATGTATGTGGTTTGTGACAAAAAAAATTACATAGCATGAGCAGAACATCCCACTTGCCTGATGTACAGAACAGCCCACTTGCGTGATGTACGGTGGGTACATCGACGCACGAGAACAATGCATTGCACGAGTCCCAACAACCATGAACATATGCAAACAGCGTACAAGCACACATACGACTTTAGCTGAAGGCGCATGTGCAGGCAACTCTTCTACACTAACATAGCATACGAAACGTTAGAATGTATCCACACAACCACTAAGATGTATATCCGTGAGTGTGCAACATAACGTACGGGAAACCAGCCCAACACCTCCGTATGCCTATTCCTATTTCTACTACATTTTCCTACTTTCCTGTTCCTATTTCTACTACACTTTCCTACTTTCCTGTTCCTATTTCTACTGCACCTTCCTACTTTCCTGTTCCTATTCCTATTTCTACTACACCTTCCTACTTTCTTATTCCTATTTCTACTTCACCTACCGTTCTCCTTGGCTTTTTTAGTCTTGGTCTTGTATGTGTCGTCTACGAGTAATGTATCTAAGGGCAAGGCATCGGGTAAGATGACATATCGCAGATTGCTGCCACGCACACTGAGGGTCTCCAGGTTAACGGGCTCACGGCCTTTGACAGTCATTTTAACGGCCTTTAAATGGGTGTTCATGCTCACATCCACGCCTGTGATGGTGCCGTTGACGATGGTGCCATTCTTCAGCTCTATTGACACGGACTCGCCGTTGATCTTCTGAAGGAATCTGCACATAAGCCAATACAGACACTGTTATCAGTCAGGAAATGTATAACCGGAGGACTGATAGGAGAACGCATATATACAGTTACTACAAAGAACATACAGAAGCTATCCCTCTGGAACGCATATATACAATTACTACAAAGTACAAACAGAAGCTATCCCTCTGCATCGCATATATAAAATTAATACAAAGTACAAACAGAAGCTATCCCTCTGGAACGCATATATACAATTACTACAAAGAACAAACAGAAGCTATCCCTCTGGAACGCATATATACAACTACTATAAAGTACAGACAGAAGCTATCATTTTGAAACGCATATGTACAACTACTACAAAATATAAACAGAAGCTATCCTTCTGGTGCGTGCATTGAACCACGGAGAAAATGTGTATATGAGGAATGTACTTACATAAAAGTAGTTATACCAATTGCATTTTTAGCTGCGTCCAGATCAATATATCAAGAGATGCAAAACACACATAATGATCTATTTACACAAACACAGACAGACATATATATATATATATATAAATATAGATATACATACATATACATATATATATGCCAGCATGTGCACTATGTACAAATAGAGTTCCACAGAAGTAAATAGACACGCTAATGCAATGACCAGAGTAATTGTAAGGGTTTATATATATATGTATATATACATACATATATACATATATATGCATATATATATACATAAATATATATATCTATAAATACATACACACACACACACATGTATATATATATATACAAAGACAAACACACACACTCAAACACACACACATATATATAGGCATTCATTTCAAAACAAATATAAAAACACAGCAAATTAGAATGAAGCACACGGGTACACGCACACACACACACACACATATATATATGAACAAAATATAGATATATATATTTATATATATATAAATCAGAATATATATACGTACATACATACATACATACATACACATACACACACATATATATATAAATATAAGTATACATAAATATATATATATACATATATATGAATGTACGTATACGAGAAACATACATACATCCATACATACTTATATCTGTACGTATATATATATATGTAAACATATGTATATATATATATATTTATATATATATATATATATTTATATACAAATATATATATATATATATTGTATATATATACTATACTATATATATATATATATATATATATATACACAAAGACAAACACACACACGCACACACACACACACACACATATATATATATATGAAAGCATTCATTTTAAAACAAATATAAAAACACAGCAAAATAAAATGAAACACATGGATAAATGTATAGGTATATGTATATATATATGAACATAATATATATTATATATATATAAATATCAGTATATATATACATATATACATACATACATACATTCATACACACACATACATATATATATACATGTATATATATTTAAACATAAATATATATGAATGTATGTATACGAGAAAAATACATACATTCATACATCCTTATATACATATGTACACACACACACACACACATATATATATATATATACGTATTTATATACAAATATATATGTAAAGCAGCTATAGGTTATTGCGAGAAAACTTAGATGTAGCGCTTTAGTATAATATATATTAATTTGGAGGTATTCCTTGAATTTTCTAAAAACTGAGAACAAAAGCGACTGATCCATTCATAGACATTCTAACTAGTACTAAAACAGATGCTTGTGCGAGACAAACTACAGGGATGTAAGGCATGCGGGCCACTTGGCGAGGTAAACGACACGGTTGTCAAGTAGATCCTATTCCGTAGGCTCAGACATACCTTACTAGTTTCATGGTGACAGGTGTAGTATAATCGAGGTGTGACAAATCCCGGTGAGCCTATTTATCATGTACCCTGTACTTGTGCGCGTGTATGTGTGTAGGTCTGTGTGACGCTACACACCCCGCTCCAGTGTAAACTTATTCTTCTCACGGACACTCTGTATTTTATATTTTAGTAAAGCCGGCACCACACGTTCAGGCTTCAGTGGTTGACCCAAGACCTTCGCTGGCCCTGCTGTCTCACCCATTCACCAGAATGTGGGGCTCTGAATGTCTCCTACGGCTTATCCGGATGTATTTTAAGATTCCTAAAACTTGAACAAATGGGTCTGTTTTGGCCTATTTCGGACAGACTTAAGTTTAATATAAATCGCATATTTCTCTCAGATTGGAATAGATTCCTGGAAAGCATGACTTTAACGAATCAGAGTGTCTGGAATATCTGAGTATCCAATCGTTGGACAATTAGGCGGTCCAATTTACGACATATATTTCTATTTGCGACTTTTCTTTCATTTCCACACAAGAGTATGTGCGTGGCTCATCAAACTCCCTGTCTCTCAGTCTCTCAGACTTCTTCGTTTTCGACTTTCGCAGTTTCGTGTCGTCGCAAATTCCTATGATTTTGCCCGCCGTTTTATTCAAAATTTATAAAATGAAATTTAATAAAACCAGCAGCAGCCGGTGTTCTGTGTACAATGAGGTCCTCACAAACAGTACAATACAGTGCATATGAATATATGGAGAGTTTATGCTGTATGTCACGGTCACTAAAAACACACTCTAGTAGTAGCACAGCCTCCTATGCGCATATATCACATACATAAGTGCAGCTTATGGACGTCGAAGTACAGAACTGTGTGCAGTCAGTTTACACAGAGACCTAAACAGCACATGCATTCGAGGCTACTCATGCCACGCAACACCTCACCAGGCCAGCAGAAGTGTGTGCATGGTGCTGAATATAGACTGCTTAGAACACATGTGTAGTCGTCTCGCATTCGTCTGTGAACACCTTATCGTCTGAAAGCATTTACTTTACAGTCATTATACCTTCACAATTCAATGGCGAAAGGCCCCACCGTCCCAGGCAAGGGCAAATTCGGATCATGTACGGCAACTTGTTGCGGCGCACCGATCAACCAACATTCGGACGGTGAGTACATCTGCATTGTAATGCACACGGTGCTACAGGGATATCTGTTTTCTGTATACTGTATTATATCAACATAGACAAACGGTTCATATTTACTGTAATGGGTATGCATGCGAATGTGTGTCTATAGAGAGAGAGCGGCGGGTAGTGTTGTTTATTCGGTCTGTGTCTTGCTATTCATACGCATATGGTCCTTCTTAAGTATGTTTGACACATGTCTAGGTTAAGTGTTAATTGTTCGAGCGCAACCTATTGATTGCAGCTATCAAATGTTTTGCTTGTGTTTTAAGAGAAGTCTGATTTAATCTGCGCCAAAGACTTCGCGTAAGCTGTGATTTGCCGCACATTTCAATACATTCGCATAGCGTTCACAACCTCGTGTAAAGCGCGCTGTCAATCTCTTTGACTACGATAATTCAATACTATCGATTGTTTTTAGCTTCACAATACTCTACAAACATTACCGGGCCACGATTATATGAACGGATAATACTATACCACACGTAATATGTGGATTAGTATATTCCGTTCATATGATATGAACGTAATACACTAACCCATATATCATATGAACGGAATACATCAACCCACATATCATATGAACGGAATATATCAACCCACATATCATATGAACAGAATATATCAACCCACATATCATATGAATGGAATATATCAACCCACATATCATATGAATGGAATATATCAACCCACATATCATATGAACGGAATATATCAACCCACATATCATATGAACGGAATATATCAACCCACATATCATATGAATGGAATATATTAACCCACATATCATATGGATGGAATACAGCAACCCACATATCATATGAACGGAATATACCAACCCACATATCATATGAACAGAATATATCAACCCACATATCATATGAACGGAATATGCCAACCCACCTATCATATGAGCGAAATATATCAACCCACAAATCATATGAACGGAACATATCCACTTATCATATGACCCACAAATCATATGAACGGACTATATCAACCCACATATCATATGACCTACATATCATATGAACGGAATATATCAACCCACAGATCAGATGAACGGCATATATCAACCTACATACCATATGAAAATAATATATCAAACCACATATCATTTCAACCGAATATATCAACCCACGTATCATATGAACCGAAAATATAAACCCACATATCATATGAAAATAATAAATCAACCCACATATCATTTGAAAGGAATATACCAACCCACATATCATGAAAATAGTATGTCAACCCACATATCATATGAACGGAATATATATAGACCACATTTGAGCGCATCAATCGATATTTGTCCAAACGCACGGTCCCAATGAGTAGTCCTGGTTGCATATCCTTTTTGATGTGCGGTACATACATGAAAACATACTACCCATACCACAACTGATTATCTTCGCATACAGCCTATAGCCACCCTGACTCATAAATGACAACACACTACCCACAACAACTGATCATCTGACACCCATGACCCTCGCATACAGCCTATAGCCACCCTGT